TATCGCTAAGAGAAGGGGTTTGCCCCGGTGTTTCTCCCCTGCCGAGTATTTAGGAGAAGAACCAACCAAGTACCAAGTATGCATAAAATTTAAGTTTTACTGTTCAACATTTGCTAACTGAAATGGTCATAAATGTACCTTCCACCCATTGTTCGTCGTGGCCATGCGTGTAGGTTGCATGTACCGTGGACCAGATGTACATGAAACTTGAGAAAATAATTATGTCACGTAACAGGAGAATTCTAAATAAACACAATCAACAGACTATAGACGCCACCAGGTCCATTGACGCTTGTATAGCAGGGTGTAGACCTTTATCATGCTGCCACCATTTCAGTCATGTTCCCTGTATCCAACAACAGTACTGAATGCTAATGTTTTTGTGCAAACAGGAACCAGACTATTTTTTCTTCCAGCCTCGCTTTGGTTACACTGATTTGAATGGGGAACAAAATCAAATGGCTACATCATGGTAAAGTTTGTGTTCATGCATGGAGAAAATCTCCAGTGAACTTTACCACTGTCGCTCAAAAAGAACAAAAACAACGGCTTTCTCACAACTATGCAGAAGGAAAAAAACACAGCCCCCACAACGAAGGGAAAAAACGAACGATTAAAGTTAAATTTGTACAGTTTTAGGCCCACTACTCACAAATCTGGAAACGCTACTGGTGTCCAATGTGTTTATTTTTTCCGTATTCTCTTCTTGGTAGATAGGAATGGAGTTGTTACAGGTTATAATTCAAGTGAGACAATTTTGTAAAACTCATAAATATAAAATTAAATGGCTGACCTTTGAAATTAAATACCCTTAAATATTGTAATTAAATCTTTCTCGTGTATTAGCAGGGCATATAAAAAGTAATAGATATGAAATTACACACCTGGACCAGACTGATGACTATTCAACATCCTTTTGAGGCCCCCCAAAAAGTCTCCGGTTTCTGGTATGCGCGCGTGTCGCCGTAGCCGTGCGCGTCGGCAAAATGAAAAAGTTTTTTTTTTCAATAAAAGATGATGTCTCAAAACCGCCAAACTCACTGGTTTGACTGGAATCCTGCTGCTTCACAATTTTAACGTGTTTTTAGATGGGGTATTGATCGAGAATAAGCTTTGTGGCCTCTCCGGACTCCCATATATTTGCACTAGGTTTAGTCGGGCACCATTTGCAGTCATCAGCCGACATTTGAAGCAAAAAAAAACAGGTAAAAAAAAAAAAAAGCCGCGTCGCCGCACCACTTTTTGGGCAAGCTCCATACCAGAAACCGGAGACTTTTTTGGGCATAAATGGTCTATTCTTGCATGACCACCGTGTTTGCTAGTGCGTGTCTGTAGGCCGACGTACACACAATGAAGACTCGATAAACAATTTGGCTGTGCAGTCAACCACAAGTTGAAGCATTTACTATATACCATTTCATTAAGCAAATGCTGAACAGTCAAACCTATAACTTTCATTCATACGGATTCAAGCATTTGCTTGTCCCTAATGCTTTTACTCCAATGTAAATGCTTTTGCTGTTTGCTAGTAAACTTCCTAGTATTTGCTAGTTTTTACACGTACATGTACATACATGCCGGTGTTTACATGCTCAGAGCTGCCATCAGCCAACAGGGGTGGTTCTTTGCAGTCGGTGCTTCCCAGCTCTCACTCCACAGAATGTTCAAGAAATGGTCGGCCACCCATGCCCAATTCCTCTTCTCAAATCTGTACAGCTTTTTGTATTCTGATAATTAATTAAACGCTCCCTCCTCCGTGCATCATATATACCTTTGCCTGCCGAACCACATGTATAAAAGCTGCTATTTTGCATACTAGTATTACGTCTCTCTTTTTAAAGTTGCCCCGACCAAGCTTTGAATAATGACTAGTAAATACTCCCAATCTGTATTTACTCATTTTTATTCATATGAAGCAAATGCTAATAGTCTAGCAAAAAAAAAGGTACAAAAGTAAAATCTAAATACCATTACCTTTTAGCAAATAATTTCCAGTAAAAGAATTTGCTTCATTAATATTCATATATAGATGCGAGGAAATGCGTACAAATTGGTAGTAAAAGCAATTGCTAGTTTTTGTACATACCACCCGTTATTTACAAACGTGTCATGGTCATGCGTTTAGGTTTCATTGTAATACCATGGACCAGATGTACATGACACTTAGCAAATATTATGTCAACAGGAGAATTCTAAATAAACACATTCAAAACGCTATAGGCGCAATCCACTCTGTTCACAAGTACCCCCTCACCGGCAAACAAAGTACAGTTGGCGTAATTTTTTTTCCTAGGAGGGTTAGGGGCAATATCATGAATAATTCAGTTTTTCCTTTGAATCATTGCAAGACTTAGGTTCTCGTTCTATTTTCCCCTTAATTTAAAATTATCTCAGTGATAAATTTGGAGAAGAAAAATAGCTGATGAAAATGAGCAGCGACGACGTGGATTCGAACCAGGGATCTTTGTATCCATAGCTCATCTCGCTATCCACTAGGCTACTGTGTGGTAGCTCGACGACAACCGTTCTTTAAAATGCTTTAATGTATTGTAACTAGTTGAGTAACTAACAACAATGCTGTTGATGTCATTGTCCGTTCTCATGGATAAACATGAATTATTCATGACATTGCCCCTAACCCTCCTAGGAATAAAAATTACGCGTACAGTTGGGGGTGACCGACCGACGCCATTTTGCCTGACTGCAATTTTGCCGCGAGGCGCGGCCGTGCGTGTACATAGTACAAATCCCTGGTGTACGTGCGTCACACACAAGGAACGGTGCGCGTCAACCAGCTAAATGTACCGCCCATGGGACGTCGTTGCTAGGTAAAAGAGCGCACTCTTTCGTTGGCGCACGGAGCCCATCTGGAATTGTATGTATTGTATATAGTTTATTTAAAGCTATAGTCCATCATTTGCAGCCATCCGAAAAGTAACTGGGTAATTATTGTTGAAAAACATACTTGGTTGAAAGATAGTAAGGGGACTAAACTCCCTGTGAAATTATTCTTTCTGGCAAGCTGTCATTTTGAAGTAATCAACGAAAGAAGGCCTTTCCAACGGTGCGTCTTAAGACGCACCGTAGGAAAATTTAAATTAGTAGTTCGTTTTGTTATTCGGCGAAGCGCGCAAGCATTGGCACGACGCACACGCGCGCGCAGTTGCTATAATTCGTCGGATCAGTGCGCAACATCGCGAATAGCTGCAATCGGCACAGTGAGGACGCGTCTCGGACGCTGAATTCAAAACATGATTCAGCAACTTTGGATTTGAAATTGAGATCCTAGAAAGCCGTTTTTCTCGGAATATACAGCTGAAGCTGAGCTGAAACTTCATCAGGTTAGTTGTTCAGTATCCTTCATTAGATTTTGAACACTTTTGTTGCTTCAAACGAACAAAATGCACAAATTACAAATGATGGACTATATCTTTAAACTTTATGTGACCGCATTCGTATTCTACACCCAATACATTGGGCGCACCCTGCTATATTGTGGTACCTTTATTACCACCGTTCACGGAATTGGTTCACAGGAAAAGACTTGAATAATATGGTTTCAGTGAAAAAAACGTGAACTAACTTTAAAATGCGCTTCTGTCCTTTATTCGCATTTGTCGACTTTTATATTTTAGCTTATAAGCTGGGTATATCTGTTAAGGAGTACATTCAAGTTCTTTAAAATTATAATGAAAATTGTTTTAACAAAAAAAATAGACCAAACTGACTTAGTTTGATCTATGTCTGTACTAAAAAGGGAACATACGGCTTTTGAAGATTTTTTCATGAGTTTTTGCATTTTGTTGATGTGCAGTTATGTACAGTATAATCAAATGAAAAAAAAAAGTTTAAAGTGCTTTTTACGTAATTTTTTTATTGGCTTTTTATGAAAAGCTAATAACTAACATCCAATACTAATACGAAATCTTATGCCCAAAGCTTTGACCTAAACTGTATTAGTCATAAGCCACTTTCGGACCAAACCATTTATTGGTCATTGTTCTATAAAGATCATATTCACGAACTTGTGGCATTTGTGATAATTCGGGCGATTCACATTGCAGTGCGCCACCAAGAGTTTGCCACGGAGAGTTCGTTTTTCAAGGTCGACACGGTCGACAAAACATGGCCCATTTGACCGAGTGTCAGTAGAAAACTTGAGCTAATTTGTTATAGATTGGGGCAAAGCGTTCTGCCGCCTTACAAAAAAACCCACCATATTGATAAAAAGAAAAGAAAAGGGCCAACAGATCCTCGAATCATACGCTTACGAACTTTCTGGCCGGAAAAACTAACAATTTCAAATGTCCCGCGCTGCGAATTTGTCGACCATCTCCCACAATGCACTGGCAAACTCTTGGTGGCGCACTGCATTGTGAATCGCCCGAATTGTGTGGTGCTGACTTGATGTTTCATGGACGTCGTTCACGAGAAAGCCATCTTGGTCGGGTTCCCAGGGCTAAATGTATTTTATTACTTGTGAACTGTTGAATGGGATGGTGCCAGTCTATTTATACATTCTAGCCTCACATTCATTTATGTGTGGCTTAAAACATTAGGGTAGCAGACCAGTAAATAAACTTCCATAGACCCCAATGGTAAATGCTCCCACTTCAAAAATTCGGGAAAAATACTCACAACTCTCCAAGGTGTTCGAGACGCACATCAAATTAAAGCTTATTTCATCATCTTTCATTTTCTTTTCAATTTTTGGGGGTCAACTGATGACTTTTAGGAGAAATTTCCATCTGAAGATGATCACCCCTGAAAATAGTCCTGAAGCCCATCGCCATTTTGAAAAACGATGCCTACACTCCATTGCAAAATAGAGCGCTTTTAGGGTCCAAATTACATCAAAATTACACAGAACTGCAAGCTCCCAGTCCTGTGCACGGCTTCCACCCATATTTTTTACAAACCCTCAAGTTCATGGCCCACAGCATGCCCAAATACCGAAGATTTTGAGGGCATGCAATCGTGATTTGGCCGGCGCAGGCAATTTCGGACCGATTTACTGGTCTGCACCCTATAAGGGGCGTGTTTAATCACACATTTAAAATTGTTCATAAGAGCAGACTGGTGTGTAATTCACTTTATGTCATTGCTTTCATTCGCTGCGCAAGTTCTAAAAATGAATATGAATTCAATATGGCGGACTCGTAAATAAGGCCAATGCTCGAAAGGATTTTATCTTATCAACATATTTGTCTCGAAATCGTTTAAGCCGTATACAGCTCCGTTGGCAAGTGCTCCAGTAAATAGGTAACGTGCTTTATGCGATGCTTAGGCGAAATTTAATTTACTTTCAGTACGATGCTTTCTACCCCCTTGAGTGACGCCATAGTCTCCCTAATTCTCATCTGGCTCGAGGTATGACGATGGAGCAACCAGAAACATCTTCTGGATGAACATCGAGACGGCATCTATAGTAAGAAGGGCATAATGGAAGAACTGAAATTGGAAGTCACTAAGGGTGTTGTGATAAATAGTCCGCAATTTAGAGTTAGAAAATAAGAAGTAAATGCCGTAGTACAGAACCAATGTGACGTGCGAACCTATGGTGGGTCCATTTGAGCAATACTCAGAATATTGGTGGCAGCAGATAATTAAATGTAAGGGGAGTCAGGTTGGCATTCGCGTTGCGGGACTTTCCTCGCCTTCCACCGCTATGGCCCTGGTTCGAATCCCACCCGGGCCAATGTGTGGGTTAGTTTTTCAGTCCCTACCTGATTCCGTGGGTTTTTCCCAGAGAACATTCTTCTGGAGTTTTCCTAGTCCCACCTCTAAAACTGTAACTTCTTCTCATTGTCTCCTCTCTACAGGTTTCGTCAGGCTCTCGAGCTACAGTATCTAGGGCGCTTTTGAGGAATCATTGGTTTCATTACCAGAAGTAAATAATAACAACAATACATAATAAAGCAATTTTTTTTAATCAGTACGATATTTTGCATAGTTGTGATAATGTTTGGATACAAATTGTAGCAGGATTTTACAGCTTGCACACCAAGGCTTCCAATTTGAAAACAAGCCTGAACACGTTTTCAAAGTTTAAGTGACGTCTGATTAAGGGCCACAACTTAAGCCAACTAAGTTGACTTCAGCATCGTAGCCTTACATACCCATAAAGCCTGGGCGATACTTTTTCCAGACGAACAAAACGTAGAAAATGACGCCGATTCCCATCAGGATAGCGACCAGATAGAGATAGGCCAGCGTCGGCTCACTGATAATCGGTGCCAGGACCATGAAGAGACAGAAGATTGCTGCTGCTATGGGGAGCACTATTGGCACCTTGGGAAAAATGCGGGAAAAGGAATCAGAGGTAGTATGTTTTTTTAATTGGTGATGTAAATTGGAAGGAATTTAAAACCAATTTGAAGTAAATTTCTTTGGTAATAAACCCAAAAGGTCCACTGAAACATTTTTTGTGTGCAAATAGCAAGGCCCTTATACTCTCTCGCATTTCAAGCAGAGTGTGAGGCGTTCTGGCAAAATGAGACAAAACTGGGCAGAAGTGGAAATGCGGATTTGCGGGTATTGAGAAAGAGAGAACAATTCTTACAATACTGTTGCACGCCAATCTGACATTTCGTTGACAAGTTATGTCTGTTTAAATTTCACATTTATCGACAAGTCGAAAAGGTAAAACACAGAGAGAAATGCCTTTAAAGTTTTGAGTTTTGTAGTCGTTAAAATGAAAGATGGCAATTGCTTTTCTATTTTCTAATTTGCTATTTTTTTTTATATTTTTTTTATTTTTTTTTTTATTCCAAGATTTGTATATTATTTCTTTAAATTATGTGTAGTAGACATATCAAATGATACAATTATCGATAAATGTGAAAGTCGAAAGAAGATCACCCGACTCAGTTTTTTGTTGTTGCATTTTTCTCCACTGCGGCCTGCGACCAGTTCCGTCTCATTTCGCCAAAACGCCTTACATGTTATTACAATGGAAATGAAATAAATTGTAGAGAAATTGCAATTAAAAAAAAAAAAAATGCTGGACAGTCAATAAACTTCTTAAAGATTACCTTGAATGGACGATGGTGGTCTGGGAATCGATACCGAAGAACCGGAATGGCCAGGAAACCGAAGCCGAAGAACAGCCAGGCCGCGAAACTAAAATAGTTCAACACACTGTTGAAGTCGCCGATGCTGACCATGATGGTTGCAATGGTGCCCTGAGAATCGAAATGACAGAGTCGTTATTGTGAGAAAGACAAAGAATGGGTTTACACGTGAATGGGGGGTAAACAGAAACAAAATTATTTTGTTTCAAATGTCAGTCTTCTGGTAAAATAAAAACAGTTAACGTTTACGGACGAAGATGCAATGTTGGGTTACCAGCCATAACACCATTCAAGAACACTGGCTGAGACTGGTATTTAGCAAGTTATATGCTATTTGGTATGAATTTCCAAAAAAATGTATCGTAATTTTTGTGGGCACGCTTTCGAATTTCCCGCTATTCGAATCTTTTCTGTTCAAAAAAGTCAGAGGCACCCCAATTCAAATGCAGCAATTATTCTTTTAAACATAATCTTTATCTAGCATTGTGTTTTTATGTTAAAAATGTACGTGAAAGTACCTACCTGGAAGACTATGGATGGCAGCGGTGTATGTCGAGTCACACTGACCATCGAGAGTGCTTTTACCATGTGGCCCTCTCTTCCAGCAACATAGGCATTTCTATCAAACAGAAAACACAGGTGTTTCTTAATTTCAAACTACTGGTATTCAAAAACGATTTCGATGAAATAATGTATACATAGGGGTATATTTGCAGCCATGTTTCATTATACTCTTTTGAATTCAGGTATATGTTGCTCTGGTACACAGGGGCAGTAATGTAGATAATGTATATAGTGTAAACGAGGACATACAGTAATTCTTTTCTGGGTACAATGTATCTTAAAATATAGATTCAGGAAGAGTTAACATTGCGATCAGAAAAGCAAAACGACTTATTACCTTGGCATAGCCAGAAGTCCACTTAGAAGATTGCCAAAAGTTGAAATACAAACACCGAGCGGAACGATCCATGCCATAGGCCCCAGAACACGTTCAGCAAACGTCTTGTGCAAAAACAAACAAACAGACAAACAAACAAACGAAGGCTTTTAACAACAACTTTTACACATTTTATGATGAAAGTCAACATGCAATTACAAAGTTGAAAGTTGAACAATAAACAGTGAGCTACCTTTCTGAGTCATTCAAAATGTAAGCGAATGATTTTAGTATGAAATCATTCTGATCTGTTATTGAGGGGTAAGGCGCCCTCCAGCGTTCATATTCACTTACAACGGCCACGGCGTTCGAAGCTAGGACCTCATCCGCGGAGAGCAGTGTGAAGTACGCGATGTTGGTGAAGAGATAGATGACCAGTACGGACGTCATAGAGATGCATATAGCCAGAGGGATGTTTCTACATGATGTAAGGGTAGGTAGAAAGACATTTGAACCAAACAAAAACTAGTTTACGGTGCTACGATACAGGACAACGAAATTGAATATTCACGATGTGTTGAGAATGTTTTAAACATGTGTCCCAGTAAAACTGTTTAGCAAAGAAAAGACTACAATGAACAATTATATTCGAATTTATTCACCTTTTGGAGTTTTTCACTTCTTCAGTCAGCAAATTGAGAACATCCCTACCAATGAACAGATGAAAAGACAGTTAAATTGGTACCTAAACAAAATGGATTAATTGCTGTTACTCATTTTTTTCAGGTTTTCACATACATGTGCGTTTGTTTCGAAAATTAACTTGAATCATCTCCCTGTTTAACTTTATATGGTTTAACATTTTCCAGCTGAAAAGCTTCATATTTTCTTGTAAGCTGTGCAATCGTTTACCGTTTGGTGGGTCGTTAAAATTTATTTAAAATGTCAGTTGATTCTATTTATTTCAAACCTAGTCACCCGATTTGTTTACATTTTCTCGAATGATTTCTGCAATGGTAACCACATACCAAGAAAGTTTACCTACCAGCCAGCAAAAGCCCACAGTCCCTGATACAGAGCGGTGCCGTACCCGAACACATCAGCCGATGTTCCCTCGAAGGACACGCTGGGATCGAGGTGCCTAGTCTCACCTTGGATCATCTTGACAATCCCACAGCCGATGATGATGACCAGAATGAGAACCTTGGAGGTCGTAAAGGCGACTTGAGCGGAGGCTGAATGCCGGACGCTCATGCAGTTGATGAAGACACAAAGCACTATTCATACCAAAAAAGAAAACCGTAAGTGAAGGGCAAAACCTCATTGATTCACATCACCCCAACACATTCCATGTTATGAATAATCAAGATTATACTCCGTGTACAGATCTTATAGGGCCCCCAGAAGAGATGCAACAACTGGCGTCGTAAACGTGGACACAATATGTCACCGGTGCTTGTGTTCAAGAATTTACGAAGATGCTTCCAACATTTTGTGTCCCCTTAGCCCGACCTGTCGATTACATGACTTTTTTTGTTTTCTATGCCATGTTGCTTCCGTCACAATTGCATAAAGTGTATATTCTGTTGGTTACATTTTTATGAATACCTACAACTGATCGTTCGTTCACAAGCTGTATTTATAGTTGCCTAAGATAATGCACAAACTGCATCTGTCTGATGGCTGATATACGAATTTGAGAAATATTTGCAAAAGACATTCAAACCTCTTGACCGTTTTACTAGGTGACATCTAATTTCAGAAAAAGTTTGGAGGAAGAATAGTTCTATAGAATCACGAATTGAAATTGACTTCTTCTTTTTTTGGGGGGGGGGAGGTGGGGGTGGGTATTGAATTAGTAATTGACCTACTCATTGCGAGAATGCTGAACAGCTTGGTAACCACCGATGGTGGCAAACATTCTCCAGGCGTGACATACTCGCTGACGTAGGTGCCAAAAGTCAGCGCGTTCAGAGCTGACCCGGACGGGTTGATGACAAGAACGTTGGCCCAGGAGACGAGGAACCCGGGCAGGTCGCCGTAGGCCTGCAGAATATAGGTGTAGGTCCCCCCGGATTTGTGGATGGTTGAGCCAAGCTCAGCGTAGCACAGTGCAGCTGCGGATGACGAATAACAATAATTATGGATCCACGTTTATTTTTCTCATCGATCTGAATGGTTCAATATCAGTGATACGTTGCTATGCTAGGAAATGTATAGGCTTATCTATTTTTTCCAAGGAAATCGTAGATTTAATAAAGGCCAGAAACACTTTGAACACTCTGTTTCTTGAGCTTGCTTGGCATTTATTAAGGGAATAAATGTGTGCTTGGCCGGTTTTGAACACTCTGTTTAAGACTGGTTGGAGTCTGGATGCTGATAATTACCCGATCCGAAGGCTACCGTAATTCTCAGCATCCAGACTGCAACTGGACTTAAACAGAGTGTTTAATACCGGCCAAGCACATATTTATTCTCATTAATAAATATCTTTTCGGTAAAAAAAAATCAGAACTTTTCGGTCCAAAAGTCAAAACAAGTCCAAACTTATAAATTTTCTTTTTTGATTGTGTGGTTTTTTTTTGGTTGTGTATGGTATTAAACGACGTTCACACAAGGAGTTGTGCAAGTCATTTGCAGAGTAAACCACCAGGTGTTAATTGCCTGAACAGCAGTGGCGTAGCCAGGAATTTTTCAGGGGGGGGGGGCGCTGGGGGGATGGAACATTTCATGGGGGGCGTCATGTAGATCAATGATAATTTTTTTAGAAACTCAAAATCTCAGTGGGGGGGGGGGGGGGGGGACTGGGGGGACGACAAGGTTCCATGATGGGGCTGTCGCCCCCCCCCCCCCTGGCTACGCTACTGCTGAACAGCTATATCATATATCCAGCGCCTTGAGTACCTAATTGTTTGGTAGATACGTGCGCTATATAAGACTCCGTTATTATATTACGAAACCTTAGACAAGTAACATATGGACAATAGTATACAGTGCGGATGCAGTTTTGTGTTCCTATCAGTATAATAGATGGTTGTGCTATGACAAAAAGATGATTGTATTACCAAAAAAATAATGACGTGTAGTGGCCTCTAAATTCGCCTTGTGTAACATTACACGCTTTTCGTGTACTGCATATAAATTTGTTTGGGGTGTCGGTGTAAACTAATTCCTCACGTTAATTAGTCGTGCTAATATATTCAAGGGATACTATGTGACATATGGTGTTATTGGGGCTTATATTTTACGACCAAATTATTATGCAAACGAAGTATACTTTATATACGTGAAATCAGATGCTGCGAGGGTATAAAGTTACTCATGCATCACAACGCACTCGTTATCGGGAAGACAAGTCCTTGAATTAGCTTGTGTTTAAATTGCTAGTTTAGTCCAAAAAAAGTGTCCAGTTTCTGGCATGGAGCCTGCCCCAGTGCGGCGACGTGGCTTTTTTGTTTTTTTTTTTTTTTTTTTTCTTCAAATGTCGGCTGATGACGGCAAAGGTGCCCGACTAAATTTAGTGCAAAATATATGGGAGTTCAGAGAGGCCACATAAAGCTTATACTCGATCGTAACCACATCTAAAAACACTTTAAATTGTGCAGCAGCAGGATTCCAGCAAAACCATGTGAGTTTGGCAGTTTTTAGACATCATATTACATT